TTAAAATATATTTTAACATGGACGGACCCATTTTATTTATGTTTGGTGAAGTATGTGTACAACTAATCATTTCTACCTTCTCCTCTCTGTCAACACTCTCTGGTTTCATTTAAAAGAGCCAATCATCAGATATTGTCCAAGATTAACCTTCAGGGTGGATATAGCTCACTAGCAGCCTCGCACCGAGGACCTATCCACGTCATCATTTACCCAGAATGCTTTGCGTGTAAATAAAATAGCCCCGTCCGTGTAATACTGTATATTTTTAAACTTAAGATCATTAGATACTGATGTAAGCCAATCCCAATTGAAGTCTCCAACCAGAATAATTTCTGGAGCTTGTAAATTTGATATTTGCTGAACTGTTGAGGCCAGGGTATCGGTAATGGCAGATGGAGGTGTATAACAGACGATGACGGTCAGGAACTTGAGCATCTGACAGATCTATAAAGCTAAAAGTTCAAACCTTTTAGGGCCTGATTAGATAAGAACCTGTGCTTTGAGGCAGATGTAGCATATTGCTACACCACCTCCTTTCCTGGGGCGGTCTCATCTATAGATGTTGGAGCTTTTTACTTACACGTCTTTATCTTGAGTGCAGTTAGTAAACCAAGTTGAGATGGCAATAATGTCAGCATTTGTGGAGCTAACCCAGATTAGTGTTTCCTGCTGGTTCTGATGTCTGGCTCGGTGAAACAATGTTAAATCACGTACAAGTGGCMGACTTGGTGAACTTTATTTCTTCTTCTTTAGAAACACCACCACATGCAGCTGCCAGCTCTGACTCCTRTCCTCAACAGAGAAGCTCAGGCTGAGCAGACGTCCAGCAGGAAGTTGGTCCCTCTGACGCACCTTCAGTCCTTCGATCAGCTGCTGAAAAACATTCATCGAATTGAGGTAATTTCTTCCTCCTCACTCCCACACCTCGATTATTAATCTGTAAGCTGGAGAATAAAAAAGGCTGAACGGAAAGAGAAATGTCTCACCATGATTCTAATGTCGCTTATTTTATCTTTTAAAGCAGTGAAACTTGTCAAAACATAAAAGGCCCATCATTTCTTGACAGAGTGCAAATCGCCYGCTGCCTTTTCATGCCACAGTTTTAAACTAAATGCTGATTTACACTTTAATCCTCACGTCTTGCTCACAGTGTTGCGTACTTCTCATCTGTTATCTCCTGCTGACACCCCGTCTTCTACATCACCCCCAGTCAGTCAGAACTCTGTCCTACAGAGCAGWGTGGTTTCTACTGTTTGATAGGTCAGAACTTTGAGGGCGTGTTTGTTTATGTGGATCAGCCCATGCTGGTTGTTAAATTTAAGACGGACAGCTTTGGGGAGCATCAGATATTGGTTTTATAGTACTTTATGTGTCTTTGCTTGTTTT